TGGCCAAATTACCAAAGACGCATCAAATTCCCCCAATTAAGGAAATAATGGTGATTCACTTTCCATCTTTGCGCCGATCCGCCATCTCATGGTATCTCAGCGCCATCATCATGCTATCTAACAAATCAGCATCACTCAACTCGAATCCCCCTGCATCACTTATTGAGTGTCAATGGTAAAATTCAAAAGCTACAATTAGGAAAAGATAGAGAGGTGTCGAATTTTTTTAAAATAGAGAGAGAAAAAAGGTAAAACTTAGTTTAGGAGAGACACGAGATAATAAACCAAATGGCCACTGAATTTTGTAAAAGGTTTTTACAGGATCACTAAATTTTAAAAATTACCTCATTCATCATTAAACTTTGCAAAAGGTTTCCCAAGGGTCACTAATTCAGTGATCCCCTAGGAAACCTTTTGCAAAATTTAGGAATTTTTTGGAAACTTTTTTGCAAAGTTTAGTGATGAATTGAGTGATTTTTAAAGTTCGGTGACCTCATGAAAATCTTTTGCAAAGTTCAGTCATGACTTGAGTAATTTTTAAAATTCAATGACCCCTTGAAAACTTTTTCCAAATTCAGTGACCATTTGGATTATCTCGAGACACATGGGTGAAAGTCAGAGAGAGAGTAGAAATTGGTATTTAGATTTTTTATTAAGGGTGATTGAGTCAATTTAAAAATACTTAGCTAACTAATCAAAACTTTTTGAAATACCATGTGTAATTATATTCATACCACAATTTTTATTTCTTGCACCACATTTTAATTACACTTAAGTTTCTCAATATTTAATCACTATAGTGTTTATGTCCCTAATGATTTTTCATGATATTACTTTTCGTTAATTAATACATTTTGTATTTGATAACAATTTAAGTCCAAAATTCCGTTGAAATAACTTATAAAAACTTATTTTTAATCATATTTTAATAAATAAATAAAAAAATATTAAAAATTTTCCTTACTTTAAAGTATGGAAACATAATATTTTAATTTAAATCATCATCAAGGATGATATATAGTAATTAATAAAACATTGAATACAAGAAATCAACGAAAAAAATTAAGAAAATAATTGTTACAACAAGCAAAGATTGATAAATTTAAAATGCAATTAAAATGTAGTGTAACAGATAAAAATTGTGGTGCCAATATAACCATCGGAAAGTGCTATATATACATAATTGTCTATATAATGGTGTCCATAATTACACGTGATATTGAATTCAATATTTAATTCAAATCTCACAATTGCACATTAGCAACTGGATGATTGACACATCACATTATGGACATCATCATGTGCAATAATTATGTACAAGTAGAATTTTCCTATAACCATCCATACCATATTTTAAAATGGTAAGTGAAAACCAATATTTTGTCCAATGTCCTTTATGAATATGACCAATAAGTCAAGTCAAAATTAGGCCTCGTTTGTTTCTCATTCTTTGGCCACAAAAATGAAAAATATGATCGTTATCTGCACACGATTTATGCAACGTGATTTTATACCACAAATGTACGGTGTCAAGTTTTGTAATATAGTATTAGAATAAGAGTGTCGAACCCACATGGACTGATAATTGAATCCTATCGAGTACTATAATTATTTTTTAACTTTCACTTTATTTAGACAATCAATGTTTTGACACGATACTTTATTGCTAAATTAAAATAAATGGGATGAAGATGTAAGGCGAACAAGACCAATTTATAAAGCTTCTTATCAAATTATGAATGCCTTATCAAATTATGAATGCCTAGAGAGTGATTTCACCGTACTATCGACAATGTTTTACAACCGTTATAACCTTTTTTGTCGATCTTTCCAAAATTTATAGGCAAGAACTCTAAATTGATTCCATTTTCCTCTCTCGAGCACCAAATAAAATATATTTCTATATTTTAATTCCAATATCTCTATTCCGAACTAAACGTATAGAAATTATCAAAACACTTAATTCTTTAAATGGAATTAGCTTCAAAGATTCGCACTTTCTCTCGAAATCTACGAAATCTAACTTATGTTATTCTTAGATCATGCCCAAATTTACCTCTCTCAAGCATCGAAATTTAAAGTATCTAATCAATCAATTAGTGTCCAATTAATTGAAAGTATTGCGCAAGAACAACATAAATAAATAACCGGAAAGATTAATTGAAATAATTATATAGAAATTAAAACATGTCTAAGTAGGCTACATCAAATCTCTAAGATTAAAGTCTAGTTCATAATGAAATTGATTGACATAATAAAATATACAATAAAGAACATGGAGAAGAGGTACGGAATCAGAAAAACTAGTGTTATTGCGCGAATTCATCCCTCAATCATCGTCAATTTTCTTGTAATTGGTTTTGTTGATCTTTGCCTCTTGAGATTTTCTCATTGCAATCCTCTTTTTCCACTATAAAAGAAGAAGCGCTGTTCTTTTCGTTCTCCTAAGTTAAGTAGTATGATGGATTTTACTTCCATAAGAGTTTGCGTTAAAAAAGGAATTTGTCCGATTTTTTTCGAAAAATGCCCACGTGCATGCAGTATACTTCCTTAGGCGCGTCGCATATCACTTCTACGTTCTGCATATGAAATTGAAGCCAGTGCGTGCGCGCACCACTATGAAATTTTTTCATATGTTGCACTTTGGTCCCTATAGTTCATTCTTCGTTCCTTTTGGTTCATATTGATATATTCATGATCATTCATCCTCCAATACTATTTAATTGTCTCTAGTTCTTCTTAAATCATCAACATTAGGTCTGAATAAACTCTTGGTACTTTGCGATTTAGTCCCCAAACTTTTGATTAAGCCCAAGTTAGCAAATTTCTCGCTCTTCTGTCCAATTTCATTGTTTTGCCTTAAGTTACACTTAACAAACGAAATATGTATGAAGTTAAGCATCGATTCATTCTAAATAACAAAAATTGCTCTAGTTTAATGAATGAAATAAGTGTATAAAATACTCTTACCATTATTTATCACATCAAGCCATCATATTTAACTTCCTCTCTCTTGTGTGGGTCCCGTAACGACTATATTTTCCATTCTCATTCTTAAAAGAATGAGGATCAAACGAGGGCTAAATAACTGACCACTTACTGGGGTCAATTAAACTTTTATGGAGTCAAATAAATTTGAATTTGAATCAAAATGACCTGAATGAACTCTAATTGTGTGTTTGATAGGTAGGAAATTCCATGAAAAATGGAATTGCAATTCCATTTTTTCATTTTTTTAGTGTTTGATTGCCAAAAATTTCCTTGGAATTTATTTTCCACCTTTTGATGCCACATATACATTTTCCTTCTTTTTGAGAAAAATGAATTCTCACCAAAATTGGTGAGAATTCATTTTCCTGGATTACTGTAGCAATGTTTGTTTTTCATTTTTTTTTGACAATGGAAACAAATTCTAAGAATAATTGTAAAAAAAATTCCTTTAATTGACAATTTTCATGTAAAATAAAATCAAACGAACACCAAAAGATAGATAATTTTCTTGAATTTTTTTGGGTTGGCAATGGAAACAAATTTCATCTCCAATACAGTAAAATCTATTCCTTTAATTGATAATTTTCATATAAAATAAAGTCAAACATACGTCAAAAATACTTTTATTTCAACATTTTCCACTTAAAAAATTATACCAATCAAATACAATAATTTATAATTCTCAAAAAAATAATTTCTAGACAATTCAATTCCCTGGAATTCGTTTTCAATTCAATTAATTTTCGTCTTTGCGATCAAACAGACCCTAATTGACTCGTCCTTGGAGAAAGCTTTTTTGGGTAAGTTATTTAAAACATAAGTCTTTAGTTAGAAAGTAATTAAGAGATTTTTATTTTTTTTAAAGTAAATTTTTGAACTAGAAAAGAAAATTTTAAACATGACATAGAATTTGCATAAATGTAATTTGATTCCTTTTTAGTTTATTAAGATATGCTCTTGATTTACGAATGTATATAGAGCCACGTGCCCACTTTGAGAATAAATAAAGTTGTTTTCTTTATCTTTTCCAATTCAAGAAATAATTTCCATTTTTATTTAATTATAAACCTTTTCAGAAAAAAAAAAGGAAAAAAGAAAGTAAATTGTATATTTAGTCCCAATCTTTCACGGAAACTATGATCCTATCCTAACTAGTTTTGTTTGTTTCTAACCTTTAATAAATTAGCAGACAATTTCTGTCCATTTTAAATTTAGTTAGAAGTTTTTAATGAAGGATAAAATAGTCCATATAACAAATAAAACAAAAAAGAAAAGAAACCTATTCAATCCCAACCCGTCTCTACAAAACTCCACCCAATCTTCTAAATTCATGTACGCTATACACAAGCAATTATGTACCCTCTTGGGCGATTGTTGATTTAAAACAGGATGTTGGAAAAATGAATATTTTTTTTCTTTACTATCTTTTTTTTATTGAATTTTTGTATTTGAACTATTTGTCCTCTATTAAAAGTCTTATGCAGCTATAGTTATTAAATACATATGAAACTGATTGATTCAATATGAAATCTAGTAAATTGATCTAGAGATTAATCTGGGTCTACTTTTAATTCAAAAAAATTACAGTATACGAGAGTTTAATATGTACCTCACCAAGCAACTTAGCTCTATTAATCGTCAAATAAATAATATACTCAAATATTGAATTGATTAATTTTTAATTTGCATCAATGATTCATTGCTTGAATTATTGACTTGATGGTTGAATCAATTACCCATCTTTTTAAGTATGTAATGATCGTATTGGGTTTGATAATTGTACGCAACTCACATGACTAGATTTCACACCTAAAATGGATTAAAACTTGAAATAGGATCCAACTATGCTAATTTATTAAAGTTTGGGGTAATAATGGGATAAAAAATGGTCAGGGACGCGATCGAAATTTTTATGAAAGGTTGGAGACTACATATGAAAACTTTCCAAAAAATTTAATCTAAAAGTACTCCTCCATAGTCGCAGTCCGCTGGCATTTACTTCTTGTAATAATTACTTTATATTTGAAAAATTATCACAGAAATTCATTTGTTCAAATCTTCGACTCATTATTAAAACCCTAATCGTAAGGATTTTCTTTATTAGCTTTTGGCTTTGAAATGCATTTTTCTGGAGGAAGAAGAAGATAGCGTGAAATTTTCTTCAAAAGATAAGATTCCTTCCTATTCTTCAGGTATTTAACACCTCTTCTCCTCTTTTTTCGATAAAATTACTTTATCTTGTTTCAACCAGTATTCATTTCTGTACTGTGTATGTTAGTTCAAGGATGGATATATACAGATAAGAGTTATACGAGTGTGTTTACATGTATCGGGTTTCTTTTCTGTTATGAGAAATCAGAACCCCAGAAGAGCGTTTGGTTCATTTCTAGTTGAGTAGCGACTGGTTATAGTGTTGTTTATTTACTTTCCTTTTGGTTTTATAGTTATTATTGATTTCGAAGTCTTTTCTCATTTTCTTTGTCGCCCAGAATGGCAACTCTTGAAGAACTTGTTGCTGCATCAAAAATCCTAGGTGAGTCTGCTGGAGAAGCGGTTATGGAGCCGGATGCCACGGGCTTTTCGGGTTTGGAACTGGGAGAAAATGGGGTTGAGGTTTCTGAGTTTAATAAAAATGCTGGGAATAATGATCACTCTGTTTTTAAGGCCAATAAGCGAGCTGTTGAGACTGAAAAAACAGTGGAGACTACTTTTGTGGGCAAGGGTCAGCTGCAATCTCACTTGAACGTTAAAGAGAATGAGGAAAAAGGGGCTGAGAATGAAATTTTTGTAGCTGGTAATGATAAGAACGTTTCAGTCAGAGAAGAAGAGTGTAATCAGAATGGAATTAATCTTATAGTGGATGTTCTTGGTTCTTTGGATGGTGTCGATGGGAGTAAGAAGTATTTTGAAACTGATGGCGGTGAAAGCTCTTTTGTAGAGAATGAAGGAGGCTTAAATATTACCTGTGTTCTAGATATCACGGGTCAAGATGATAAAGAAGAGGAGGATGGTCACGTGATGGAAAAACAGGAGCATGGTTTTTGTGTGGGAGATTTTGTTTGGGGTAAAATTAGAGGTCATCCTTGGTGGCCTGGACGGATATATGATCCTCAAGATGCGTCAGATTTTGCTATGAAGCATAGTCAGAGAGGTTGCCTCTTGGTTGCCTTCTTCGGGGATGGTTCCGGTTCTTGGTGCTTGCCAGCGCAGCTTATACCTTTTGCTAGCAATTTTGAGGAAATGTCAAAAGGAAGTAATTCTAAGAGCTTTCTCAATGCTGTGCAGAGGTCTATTGATGAGGTTGGTAGGGTGCTGGAGTTGGAGATGAGTTGCAAGTGTGTAGCAAAGGAGAGAAAAGCTGACCTTGCCAGGCCATTGGTGGTGAATGCTGGGCTGAAACCGGGAGTTCTCATGCCAGAGGTAGATATTAACCGCCTTTCTGTTCCTATATACGAACCTGCTGAAGTACTTGAAAAGGTTAAGAACCTCGCACAGGTTGTTTCTATCGGCAGTATGCTTGAGCTTGCAGTCTTGAAGAGTTGGCTCTCTTCCTTTTATCGTTCAAAGGGAGTTTACCAATTGGCTGTATATTATGAACCCCATCCAATCGAAGGTCTTGAAGACACCAGTGAAATTGGAGATGTGGTTGCAAATGGTTTTAGTCTTCCAATTGAAGGCCCGATTTTAGGTCCAGTTGAAGAAGACTGGCTCTCCTCATCTGGTACAGGTATGCAGCAGTTCCCAGCACCTTCAGGGGATAAGATTTATCGGAGAAGGAAGCAAAAAAGTGTTGCGGAGCTTATGGGAGAGACCCCTGATATTAAGCTCAAAGATAAGAAGAGAACATCAGCAAAAGATGGAACAGATCTTGTGAAGCCTACATCTGCAACAAGGAAGAAGAGCAAGTATTTATCTCCTCCCTACACGGAGAGGATAAATGAAGATTCTTCCGATGAAAATATTGTCAGAGAAGAAGCTAATGAGGCATCCACGCCAAGAGAAAGGAAGAAGAGCAAGTATTTATCTGCCCCCTACACAAATCTTAAACGAAGGGCAGGAAACTCGAGCTCAAACGGAGAGTCAGAAATTGAATCTGAGAAAATTGACAAGATGGTTCCGGTGGGAGAGCGCATGACAAACGCTGATGGAGATCTTTTTCCATCTCCTTCAATTTCCAATCCTGTGACTGTAAATATAATTCCAAGTAGACAGCAAAAGGGTATTGACTCGTCTACTCATGCAAGTTCTCAACAGGATGAGAATGATCTGAAGAAGATTTTTGACACAGTAGATGTTGATGCATCAGGTAATGGAGTGTTATCAAAGGTTCAATCTGCTGCGGTTGATCCTCTTTACTTGAGCAAGGAGGGTTCCCTTAATATGATTCGGGGATTTTTTTCAGCATTCAGGAGCTCAATCTATTTGGATGGATCAAACTATAAAGAATTTCATGGCCATCGACGAGGTAAGAAGAGAAAGTTATTGCATTTTGATCCGAAGAATCAAGGAAATGGCACAAGTAAAACAAAATCCAAGACTTCCGAGCCCAAAATTCCTGAAGCAGGTACCAGTAAGATTGACAGAAGTGCTTCATCAGCATCTCTCGTTATTACATTTTCCCCTGGATCTACTTTGCCATCAAAAGATGATGTTATTGGAATGTTCAGTAAGTTTGGGAGTCTGAACGAGAAAGACACAAATTTGGTGATGGATTCAAATGCTGTTCAGGTCGAGTACGTTAAGAATTCTGATGTAGAAAAAGCCTTCAGATCATCAGTAAACAAAGATTTATTTGGGTCTGCGATTCTCAACGGTAGTATACAGCATTCTTCCGTGACCCCTGAGAAGCCCGACTCTTTACAACTAGCAGGTGACGTAATTTCAGATATAGGTTTCATCAACCAAAAACTCGAAATGATGTCAAGCGTGATGGAAAATTGTAACTGTAAAATTTCACCTGAGAAATCGAGGCTCAAGGATGCGATGAAACATCTCTTGGAGAAGGTTGGAAGCACGGCGGAAAAGGTGAGAACCATGGTTGATACTACCTCAACTTAGAAGGAAAAAATGCTGCTCAGTGAAAGTTCAGGTTTGGGTTTTTAGTTGATAATTCCCTTTTGTCCATGTAGGAATTAGTTTGTGGTAGTTCGCTTATGACGTTGCTCTTCCAGATTCCTGTATGAAATTAGGAGAGAATAAATATATACGAGAAACTGCTAGTAATATTTAAAAGGATGATCTAAATCTCTGTTAAATCTGAAACTTTATGATTCTGCTAATATTTGTCCATTGTGCTTCTGCCTTGTTTCGATTCAGCCAGTTTCTGGGAAACATTTTTCTCCTCTTTCTGAGTTCATCTTGCGTTAGTTTACCCTTCACTTATTCTCTTAGCACATTACAATTTGGTCAAGTTAATCTAAAATTTATGGGGAAAGATAAAGAGCGTCCACAACATAAAACAAGCAATATTTACAAACCTGTTCCAAGTTATCACCCACAAAAGTTTCCATAAAACCATAGTAATATAGGAGAAATCATTTTCAACCTGTCCGGATGTGGTGTTACAACAGTTTTAAGAATATCAGAAATTTAATTAGAAGAGTAACGAAGCAATATCAAGAGACATAGACACCAAGTGGATATTAACATGGAGAATGATATGACGGGTATAATGGATCAATCATCAACAGGGTCTTGAGGAGTCTCGGATGCACTCCTCTTGATTGTAATGACTGGGCATTCGGCGTGCTTTACGCAAAATTCACTCACAGTTCCCACAAATACCCTGCAAATAATTTGCAATTTCATCATCTTAATCGAAAACATTAAAATCCATCAAGTGAAGGATTAAATAATTGAGGGGCCAAGGGGATATGTTTACTTCTTTTTCGAATTTTATTCCCTATTTGAGCTCCATTATTTTCTCATTAAAATGAAAAATATGATCGTTATCCATCATATCAAGTCACCATACTTGATTTTTTATCTCTTGTGTGGGGCCATAAATGTTATATTTTTCATTCTCATTTTTACAATAATGTGGCTCAAACGAGGGCTTAGTAACTTTGACGAAATTATTTGCAAAGTCAACATCTAAACCTATGACGGAAAGTTAAGTTTTCAATAAAAACGAGGTATACCTTTGGAAAGGACCAAGGCCCCTATTTCCAACAACAAGAAAATCCGGACGGACACGGTTTACCTCATGACAGATGACTTCTTTTGGATCACCTTTCTTAATCCATGCTTCACAGGCAACCTACAAACACAGCACAGGAGTGGGTACTGTAATGTTTTTATTTATTTATTTATTATTTTTTTGAGAACAAGTGATTGGTACTCCTATATCATGGCAGTGCTTGACAAAGTATTCCAACAGGTGAAGTCCCCTGATCTTGTTCCGGTGCTTCATGCTAGCAAAATCTTCAGGAGACGCGAAAATACTATCCATATCATCAAAACCTAGGTGGAATATATTGGAATAGAAGATCAATGTTATTTTTCCTTCACAGAAACATGTACATCGTGCAGATCAAGAGCGGGCAGAAAAGGGAAAACAACTTATTTCTGCCTTTCGGGAAGTATGACAGAATAAGTGGTGCTTATAAATTTAATCGAACAGATATTTGGAGACATGAGCATCCTATCCATATTACTTTACACAAAGGGACATCATTATCATTAAAATAAGTTAAGATTTCCACATTGTTTTGGATTCCAGCTGAGCAGAGATTCACAAGTCTAACAAGCTCGGGTTATATCAAGCACCCATCAGTTTTTGTGATATCAGAAAATTTATCAATTATCAAAGAGGATGATCCTATCAATACAGCAAGCAATTTTCCTGGTGCAATTGGGTGGCCCTGTGATTTGATTTAGAAATAATTTAAGAAGTGTAGCTCCAGTTGACTGTTCAGGTCATGGGCACGAGATGAATGCAATATAACAATTCAACATTTCTACCACACACTGAACACAAGTTGTGCCTGAATCTAAAAGAAAAAAAGAGTAATTTGGAAGATGAACTAACTTCCACCAATAGTTTGGCGTTACTAAAATGATATTAATATGCATTATTCCATGAATGACTTAAGAATACAGTTGCCCATTGTTCTAATTAAAAATGAAGGATGCAAGGAACACTTCCTACTTTGTATGTTACTTTGACCAAAGCACTTCTTGACTGAATTAACTACTACGATGTCAAACATATGATCAAGAACTTCTATACGCTCGATATATTTCTTCTTCATTCACTTCTACACAGAAGAAGAGGAACACATAACATCTTCCAAGGTACCAATAAGTGCATCCGTCTAAGTGGTCATCTTAGTATAGTGAAAGTATTCGCAAATATTCAGCATATTTGATTGGCTATTGAAAACATAAACATAGTACATGACAATCCTTGGAGGAAGTTTACCCTTGATGTCCTTAATCTCACAAATGTCGAATGCAACACAAATTACGTAAAAACCCAAGATACTGTAAATTGGAAATTCAAGGCTCCTCTAAATCTAATCAAAATAAATCATCAGTCACAGGAAACTATGCAGAAGATCAAAATTATGAGATCTCCTGGTCCCTGCGGGAACAAAAAAGAATTTCACGCTCTTATTTTCCGGAAGGGATGACAAGGCAAATCCTCTTGATTGCGGCTTTCTCTAGACCTCCAGGAAAAGCATGAACAATAATAGAAGTTACTAGTTTTAGGATTAAAAAAAAAAAAAAATTAATTTTTTCTAGAATATATGCAACTAACCAAGCCACTGAAAAACTCAAGTTAACTAACCTATAGCTCCAACAAGAAGTGGATTTATTCTTTTTTCCAACTGCAAATCACTCAATTCATTACGCAGTTTATCCTAAACACTTATTGCTCAAGTTTCCATGAAGTACAAAACTCAAACCAGAATGTCTATATTTTTTGAAAATAATAATAAGAAAACAGTTAAATAAAGGGAAAAAAATCCAAACAAAAAGATCTAAAACACCAGATGCAAGAACAACCGCACAAAAAAAAAAAAGGAAAAAAAACTCTCACCATATCTATATATGTAATCTATACATTGATAGTTACTAGCAAAGATATATACACGAATATTACAGAGAGAGAGCAGAGGAAGAACCGTCTTCATCGGGCACTTGGACATGGAGAAAGAGGAGCTTGAAACCAGAGGTATTGGAGCGAACGATTTTCTTCAGAGTCCACTCGAATGCTCCTCTACTGCTTATCGACGGGTGTGGATACCCCTTTATTGTGGACTCGTTCACCGCCACCATTACCCGTGTCGGTTCACCTTCTACTGCCATCTCACTCACTGAGTTAGACTCGGAATTCAGAAATCGCTGTTCCCACCTCCCTCTGCGAAGCGTCTAGCGACTCCGGGGTCTACAGCTGAATCAGCGTTTTTTTAAAAGGAAAATAATTCCTCCAACTTCCATTTAGTGTGCCTTTAAGTCCCTAACTTTCAAAGTCGAAGTTTTGGATCTCCAACCTCTCTTCAACCCATTGAACTCTTTGCAAAATTGAATTTTTATTTGAAGAAAATCGACAACTTGAATATTAAAATTATATAAAAGTACTATGTAATTTATAGTTGGACATAATATAGCTCCTATTTGATGATCATTATTTGACAAAAACAAAGTTTTAAATAATGATTTTTCGGAAAATATATGATTAAAAAATATAAAAAAATTTGAATTTATGTTCAGAATGTTTAGACCCTGTTTGATTCACATTCTTTCAAAAAAAAAAAAAAGCTAAATGTATAGCACTAAAAAGGTGATATGCACTTACAGCCTCCTCTAATGTGAGAGAGCTGTCATAGTTGCTATCAAAGCAACTGTACCTGCTGCATTTTTGTTCCAAAAAATATATTTTTAAACAATGATTTTACAACATTTTAATCACACATTTTTTAATAAAATAACAATACACGTAAATTCAAAACTTTTCATCATTTTTTAACCATATATTTTCTATCAATACACTATTCAAAAATGCAATCTTATAGAAATAATGTGGTTCAAATAAGGGTATAAAGAGTTTTGAATGTGTAATTAAAAATAAATATGTAGAATAAAGAGTTCTAAAATAATGATTATCAAACAAATGACATAGTTTGATGAATTTGCTTTTTAACTTATGGTCATGTACAATTTGACCGTCAATGTGTACAATTTCGTTTACGTGAACTTAAATTCACAATTTTATATAGATTAGAGGCTTAAAATCTTACTTTTAAAAGTCAGTGACTCAGAATCACTAAGGCCATGTTTGATTGCACCCCCAATTCCATGGAAAATGGAAATCAAATTTCATTTTCCACTTTTTTTCATGTTTAATAGGCAAAATTTGGCATGGAATTGGTTTTATATCTTTTCTTCACACGGTCACATTTTCATGGTTTTTGGGGGAATTTCTTTTCCCACCACTTCGGTGGGAAATGGTTTTCTAACTTTTTTTTCCCTTTCAAATTTTTGACAATAGGAACAAATTTTAAGAACAATTGTAAAAGAAAATATTTCTTAAATGACAACTTTCATGTAAAATAAAGTCAAACGAACAACAAAAGATAAATGATTTTCTTGGCTTTTTTTTTTGCAATAGAAACAAATTTCATCTCCAATACCAGTAAATTCTATCACTTTAATTGACAATTTTCATATAAAATAAAATCAAACAAACACCAAAAAAATACTTTTATTTCAACATTTTCCACGTGAAAAATTATACTAATCAAATATAATAATTTATAATTTTCAAAAAAATAATTTATAGGCAATTCAATTTCCTGAAATTCGTTTTGTTTCCACCCAAATTTCATCTTCACAATCAAACGGACCCTAAATTAAAAATTAAGGGAATTTAATTTTTCTTTTCCAAAAGCACATAATTATTGGCAAAATTGTTAATGGTTTATATTGAATTTCTGAAATATATGAATAACAAGTGTTATAAATATATAATTAAAATTAATACTATTTTTAACTTTGAACCAGACGGAAGCATAAGGTGGCACGCGGTTGTCCATAACACATGGTATTTTGCATTGATGGGGACGTTAGAATTCGCTTCGTGGTTAACGCGTCGTGTGGATATAAATGCATATATAAAATGGGTGAATGTACGTGCACAAGTAATTTATTTTAAATGCAAAAATCAACATCAACATGGTCAACAATAAATTGAATAACCTAACAATGTACGCCACAAGGGCTTCTTTCTGTTACGACGAACTCTAAGCTCATCAGAGAGATCCCGTGCCGAAAGGTAGACACATGTCTATCACGGCCTTTTACTCATATTTATACTTGTACAATTTTAATATTGAATGAAGAAAAAATTATTATAATTAGGTAAATTAAATAAAGGTATATTTGTAAACGAATAAAATCAAATATTCCCAATAAATAAATATGATTATATAATTTAAACAAAAAAATAAGAAAAATTAGTTTATGCCTCTGTTTGTTTTTCATTCTTTTCTTATTAAAATAAAAAATATGACCATTATCTATCACATCAAGACACAAAATTTGAATTTTATCTCTTGTGAGGGGCCCATAACGGCTATATTTTTTATTCTCATTTTTAAAAAAATGGGAGACAAACGCCCCCATATAAATGGGACGTATGAAGTAATAAGTCTAAAAACATCTCTAACTACAAAAGTTATCAAAATATACTTTCAAAATTAATAAACTTGTGAAATTTAAAATCAAGTGATTACATTTTGTGATCCGATAAAATTCTATGACCTACACAAAATTTTTTGTCACAATAGCATGTTAATCACAAATTACATAATATTATAATCACATAGATACTTTTATGAATTTTATATATTTAGCCCCCCTTTAGCCCCCATTTTTTGGAATTGAAATAGGTGGAATATTTTATTTTTTTTTTTGAAAAATAAGTGGTTAAAAAAGAAGAAAAATTTTTCGATTTACGCGTAATATTATTTCATGAAAGATTGTTTGATTGAAAATATGAGAGAGAAAAATGAAATGAAATATAATGGAATGAAAATTAATGGAACCAAACGAGGACTTTATCGTAAACAACACATTTTAATAAGTCACAAATTATGTAATTAATTGATCACAATTAGTTTTTAACTCATCACACTCCATCAACACGGGCAACATCTCCACCAAGTCAAATCCACCCCCTCCTCCACCAGGACTCCAAAATTACTGAAGAAGATATGAGTTGGGTCGGAACTCGTAGCCGGTCCGAGATGGAATGGCGGTTCAAGCGGAAAGCTATGAAAACCTTCTGGATTTTCAACGAAAAAGATGAACTGGTCGAATCTGATCCATTGAAGCGGGATATGGAGAGAGATTCTGCATATTTTCTATGAAAAAAACTGGAGAGAAGTTGATTAACAATGATCGGAGGGACTACCCACATAAACTAGATGAACTCGAAAAAATCTTAAAAGCCATAAATGAAGCTACTTCAATTCATGATCAGAAATGCTCTTTCAACAAATTTTTGTAGATTTGATAGTTAAGAAACATGGGAGAAGTGCACTGACAGGGGAGAGTGGAAGAGGGAAAGCTTAGCCCGATTTGTCCCCATTCTTTTAAAAATCATGCAACTTTGCCAAAATGATTTGACAAAGAGCTTGATATAATTGCATATAATAGCAAATAATTAATTAAGAGGAAATTACAAAATCTCGAATATTTCAAGATCACAGTGCAAAAGTAAGGTGTACAAATTTTTCATTCATAATTAAGGTATTGATTTAACTATTAGTTTTAATAATATCAATATAAAATATATTAATCCTATTTCATTCCAATCCAATTATAAACCCTAAAATTCAAATTCATTTCTCTCTATTTCTCTTTGCTCACTCTCCCCACTTAACCCACTCCTCAGGTGGTATTGCCCACTCCGGGAGACCATCGCCGCCCATTGTCGGAGGTCGCCGCCGCAGCACGGTGATAGAGAAGAGAATTTCTATTATTTGATCTGTCGATTTGTGAAGAAGAGGATAAACAACATAAAGGAGAAGAACTGAAACCGTCAATGCTTCACTCCTAGAGATTGCCGCCTATTGCCGGAGACCACCGCCACAACACGACGATGAGAAGAGGATTCTGTAATTTGATCTGTTGAATTACTCATTTGGATTTGCGAAGAGAATTTTTGTAATTCGATTTGCCGAATTAGTCAATTGGATCTGCCAAATTTCTATAATATTTTTCTTTTCACCAGTAAATATGTTGTAGTGGTGATGGTGCTTTTGTGGTCAATGGTGATGGTGTTTCTGTAGTGGGGATTTGAGGGTGGTGGATCTAGTAGTTGGGTGGGTTTTATTGAATTAAGCAGTGGTTTGGGGATCTTTTGGTGGTTTTGGGGGGTTTTAGGTGTTTTTGTTGGTTGTTCAAGAAGAGGTATTGGTGATGATTGTGGATATAGCTACTATTTTGTTGGCAATGTAGATGGAGGTGTTCACAGGGCTGGTGGTTGTGCTGTGGTGCTGGCAAGGGTGGTCATAAGTGGAGGGAGTGTTGGCGGCGGTGGTGCCCAACTATTGTTGTGTTGTTGTTGTTGTTGATGATGGTGGTAGTGGTTATTGTGGTAGCAATGACGGTGACATGTGGGGGTGTGTGTGACCAAATATTTAGACGTGTGTGACCAACCATTTGTCTGATTTACGACTAAATAATGGGTGTCTGTGACTCAAAAATAATTTGTGACCAATAAACTGTAACTTATGTGACTTAGAGATAAAATGTGACCTGTAATTTGAATAATTTGTGATCTCGAAATAATATGTGACTTACAAAATTTTTGATTTGTGACCACGAAAAAAAATTAATTGGACGATATGTGACCAGTAAATAAATTTGTGACCTATAATTATGAACTTGTGACCATTAATCATGTAACTGTGACTTAATTATCTTTATTTAATAAATATTATTAATTAATAAAATAAATATCTGATTTTTGAATTGGGGTAAACATAACACCTGAAATTTGATTTTTTCTCAATAATTAAATGAAAAAAATTGACTATATTTTACACTATCCAATGATATAATGCCACGTTAAATTATGTCAAATTTTATGTCAACCTAACATGATTGATTTGTACAAATTAGATTGACAAATTTGGTTTACAAACTATGTATTTGCAACATTTAGGATAATCATTTCAAAAACAATTTTGGATCAATAGAATTCAATGGCCTAAATTTTGCCAATAATTAGTTTATAAACAAATTTTGTTTATGTACAACTAGATTAAGCCCTTGTTTGATCTCTATTTTGGGAGCAATAATGCATTTTGAATAATAGATTGATGAAGAATATGTTGTTAAAAATTAAAGAAATTTTTTTTATCTTCGTGTGATATTATTTTATTGAAAAATGTGCGATTGAAATGAATTTTGAAAAAAATGAATTTTTAGAACAATGAGAGTCAAGCAAGGACTAATTTTTCTTTCAAAACTAATCTTCTATGTACTCATTTTTAATTAGACGTAAACTCCAAAAAAATAATAATAATAATAATAACCACATATTCTTTA